CCTGTGTGTCCACCAGGGGGCGCCACAGGCACCTAAGCACGTGTGTCCACTAGGGGGCGCCAAAGGCACCGAAGCCCTTGTTTCCACTAGGGGGTGCCACAGGCACCGAAGCCCTTGTTTCCACTAGGGGGTGCCACAGGCACCGAAGCCCGTGTGTCCACCAGGGAGCGCCACAGGCACCTAAGGCTGTGTGTCCACCAGGGGGCGCCACAGGCACCTAAGGGTGTGTGGCCACCAGGGGGCGCCACAGGCACTTAAGCCCGTGTGTCCACCAGGAACTCCACAGGCACCTAAGCCCGTGTGTCCACTAGGGAGCGCCACAGGCACCCAAGCCTGTGTGTCCACCAGGGAGCGCCACAGGCACCTAAGGCTGTGTGTCCACCAGGGAGCGCCACAGGCACTTAAGGCCGTGTGACCACCAGGGGGCACCACAGGCACTTAAGCCCATGTGTCCACCAGGAACTCCACAGGCGCCTAAGCCCGTGTTTCCACTAGGGGGGCGCCACAGGCACTGAAGCCTGTGTGTCCACCAGGGGGCGCCACAGGCACCTAAGTCCATGTGTCCACCCCTGAGCACATCTTCCCCACACCCCGAACTCGCCGCCTCCCATTCTTCCTGATCAAGCAGCAGAACCAGCCTTCTCTGAAGCCCAGCTCCACCCTGACTACACCATGTCCTCTCTTGGCCACCCCTGCCTCATGCCCCTGGCCACCTTCCCTTATCTCACTGGTAACCAAGTCCCAGAACCTCGATGGAGCCCTGTGTTGCCACCAGTCGGGGATCCTTCCTTCCTATTAAGGCAACATCCACCCCCAGCTCCACTCTTCTATCTATTTGCTCCCTTCCTTGGTCCTTGTCACCAACAGGCGCCTATTTAGTTCCTTATCCCTGAGCCTCACACTACAACGCCAGCACCTCCAGAGCTCATGGTTGGTCCCCAGGTATTGGGACAGCTCTGGTCCCGTGGCAGGTGTCTCGTCGCCCTTGTTAAATAACAGTATCCACTAGCCATCCCTTCCACAGCCACCCTGCTGCTCCTCACCTGGATCCTGGTGGCCTCCCCGCTGGGCTTCACCTGCATGCCACACTGCAGTCACCTGCCACACTCTGCACACTTGACCTTCTCCTTACACCTCCATCCCCCGTCCTCAGCATAGAGTGCTGTCTGAGCAGCGCGGCCCCCAGCTGAAGGCTTCAGGCCTCCTTTCTGCCTCGCCCAGCCTCCCCTTCAGAAGGGGGCAGTGAAGCCATGTGATGGACCTCAGGGCTGAGCAGGGAGAGCCCCCCCTCACTAGTGGAGTATTTGATCCTGCCACTGGTGTCTAGAAAAGCCTGGATTGTGCTTCAGAGGCCCCCAGGAATCTTACAAAATGGAATCCGTGGTGGTGGGTGATGACACCATCACCTGCAACCCCACCCTTGCCCCCATCTCCCTTGAACTCCTGCACAGGCCTCTTTCTTGCTTATCCAGTTGTATCAGTCAGCTTTTCATGACTGTATCAAAATCCCCAAGGCAGACTACTTTAAAATGAAAAGGGTTTATGTGGGCTCCCAGTTCCAGAAGTACCATAACCCAAGAGCATGGCACAGGCACTGGTGAGGGGCCCCTGGCTGCCTCTCATCCTGAGGAGAGTGCTCCTGGATCTCTGTGCTCTCTCTTCCCCTCCTTACAAAGCCATAAGAGGCTGGGCACTGTGGTGCATGTCTGTAATCCCCAGCTACCTGGGAGGACGAGGCAGGAGGATCTCCAGTTAGAGGCCAGCCTCAGCAACTCAGCCAGACTCTGTCCTAATAAAAAGGCCTGGGGTGAAGCTCAGCGGTGGAGTGACCCTGGGTTCAGTCCCCAGTGCCACACAAATGAAGAAGGGGGGGTTCAAAAGCCACAGGGATCCATCACGACCCATGACTCTAGTGACCTAAACAGATCACTTCCCAAGGTCACGCCTTTGTACACGGCCAGCTGCGCTTGTCCCTCTTAATACCCCGAGTTCAACTTCCAGGATTAGACTCCTGTCTGAGTTTGGGGCACCAATCCATACTCAGAACATAGCACCAACCGGGAGCTCAAAGTAAATATAGTAGAACCACTGAAGCGTCTACCCCATATTTATGCAGATTTACCCACTCGATTTCCAATTGGGTGGCCTCTGGGGCAGGCTGACCCTGTTCCTCCCTCCTGGGTGCCACCAGAAGAAGGGAGAGATGCTCTGTGGCCCTGAAAAAGCTTCTTTTCTGTTGTCACCAAATTCCAGACCCCACCTCCACTGCTGAGAGAGGCCCCAGGGGTCTGCTCCTGTCATTCTGTGACCTCTGTCACCACAGGAGCCACAGGAAGCAAGCCAGGGACGCCAGAAGCAGGGAAACGGAGTTCACACCTGAAAGACATTGGCCTGAGTCTTAGATGAAGCCTTGAAGTTGAACTCTTGAGCGTGCTGAACCGTGGGGACTTCAGGCCTGTGGGGTGGACAGGCCTGCCTTGGGGCCCAGGGCAGAAGGCTATGGTTTGGATATGGCTGAAATGTCCCCCAGTGGCCATGTGTCACGAGCTTAGCACCAGGGTGACAACATTCGGAGGGGCAGGAACCTGTCAGAGGTGACAGTGGGAGAAGCCCTGCCCTCAGGAGGAATCGGGATGCTCCTGGAGAGAGCCGACCCCAAGCTCTCTCTGTCCTGGAGGAGAGGTGGCGTCCCCTCTTGTGCAGGTCCTTCCCGTGGCACAAGCCACGAGGCTGCCTAGCCACCAGCGATGACCAACGATGGGTGTGCAAGGTGAAGACTAGGCCACTCCTCTGGATCCCAACATTTCACTGTGTGCATACGTGTGTGTGTGCATGCATGTGTGTGTCTGTGCATATGTGCATACATGTGTGTGCATGTGCATGTGTGTGTCTGTGTGTGCATACGTGTGTGTGCATGTGCGTGTGTGTGCCTATGTGTGCATGCATGTGTGTTCGTGTGTGTGCATATGTGTGTGTGTGTGTATGTGTGTAGGGCAGTGGAGACCCAAGGGCTAATCCCACTGTTAGAGACCTCCCTGAGGCTAATCTTTGTCAGCCGCTGAGGAAGGTAGACATAGAGGGAGTGGTGACCCTGGTGAGAAGAGGAACCCCTGGGCGCTGTAAGTACATAGGCGCGTCACCTGTCAGCTGTACCCTAACCAGCCTGGCAGGGGCTGGGGGGTGGGGAGGAGTGTAGCTTCTCTGCTGTCCTGGAGTGTGTCACCTGCACCCCTGTGCCCGCCCCGCAGTGCCCTGTGGATCATGGTGTGAGCACATTCATGGCTGGATGTCCGTGAGTCACAGGGAGAACGTCCTGCTGCTGAGTTATGAGGATCTGCAGAAGGTGAGCCCCATTATAGCCAGTGCCTGCCTGCGCCCCAACATCTTCGCTCCCCCTGACATCCCTGGTCCTCAGTTTCTCCCCTCCAAGTTCCCTGTCAATGCAGAGCCTCTCAGGGGTCACAAAGAGTGAGATGAGCCCTGGGCCTCCATCGCCCTGCTCTGCTTGACCTTCCCAAGCACCCTCACGGGAGGGGACTGCGCCACCAACCCTGGCTCCTGGCGCCCAGGTGCTTGGGGGAAGCTGAGAGGGCCTGGGAGGGGCAGGCGGCATTGGAGATGTCCTGCCTGGGCGGGCCCCTGTGACAGCAGAGAGAGCTGCTGCCCTCCCGGACCTCCCACACCTACCACAACCCCAAGCCCAGCCCCGGAGAATCTCCCCTGGTGCTGACACCCTGGTAGACAGGAGCCGTCATTGTCCCATTGGTCAGCTTGGCCTGGGCCACCAAGGACCTGAGATGACGTTCCAGGAGCAAGGGTTTGTTTGGGGCTGGGGGCTGCTCCGCTCCTGGTGGTCTGGGTGGACAGAGAGGGAGACCAGAGCTGCAGGGACCCATGTGGCCCTCAGGGCCTGCCCCATGGCTGACCCCTCCCACCAGATCCACATGCCCCAGGCTCCACCCAGGTGCCTCCCAGCGGCTAAGGTCACCACCCTCTGGCTCTGGTGGCACTTCCACACCTCAGCTGTTGTGTTTTCCCCAGGCTGTGGTGGTTATTATTATCTCTAGTTATTACTATCGACCCTGGAACCATTGTATTATTGGGTATTTCTGCACATTCCTGTCTCTGGTTATTACACATCACAGAATAGGCACTTTACAATAATTTTTTGCTAAATCAACAGAAAGACATCAATAAAAACATATGTCGACTTGTTAATTTAGTTTAAAGTGCAGTCACCAACATGGGTAGAGACACTTGACCCACTGCATTATAACATCCAAACGTCCCTTGGTCAGAATATCAGAATCATCAAGTCGTTAACACAGAAGAGTAAACACGATAGAGACCCTGAGCTCGGTGGGTTTCCTGAAAACATCACACCATTGTCACATCACAGTCAGCGGTGGCCCCGGCCCCCAGGGCCTCAGAACGCGGTTGCCTCTGGAGACAGGGCCTTTCCCAGGTGTCTGGGTCAAAACGAGGCCATTACACTGGGCCACGGTCCACTGTGACTCGTGCGTTCAGAAGAGGACATTTGGACAGAGACATGGAAGGAGGTCAATCTGAAGACCCAGGAAGAAGACGACCATCTCCCCACCAAGAAGAAAGGCCTGGAACGGATCCTCCCAGAAACCCTCAGAAGGAAGCTTCCAGAACCTTTGTCCAGACTTCCAGCCTCCACTCCTTGAGGAGCACCCCACCCTGCCGGCCACCCCGTCGGTGGTGTGGGTATGGCAGCCCTCACCCAAGAATTTGGAGTAAGACTTCTGACCGCTGAGGATTGAGGAAAAACAGAGATTGATACCTGCAGGATACGCAGGATTTCCAATTAGCAGGAGTCAGACACGTCGGGCACAGGAAGAGAAATACGGGGTTCTCCTCTGACTGACCAGCACAGTGAGACAAAGGAAAAGTCACCCGCGGAGTCGTCCAGCCACCAGTGAGCAGACCCCAGCAGCCGACCCCAGCAGCCCACTCCTCRTCCTGCTCCAGGATCAGCAGGCGCCCTGCGTCCAGCAAGCAGGAGCCTCACCACCACGCGCAGGGGCTYCCCCCGCTGATGTCCAACTTCCCTCCTGGATCAGAGCTTTCCTGGAAGGTTCTGTKTGCAGCACTGAGATAAGCGCCGGCTGTGTGCAGCACGTGTGGCTTGGAACTTTCCTTCACCTGTTTCCTCCCAAGGTCTATCGTGGCAAAGAGTTCACAGGTAGGAGCCAGGGTGGAGTCACGCCCAGCCATCACCTTGTGGTGAAGTCCTCCGGGCCTGACGTTTCAGGGTGGGAAGCCTGAAATACTAAATTTACCAAAATTCTAGGAAGGAGGACCTCTTTCTGGATCACCAGTAGCCAGTCATGTTCTGGGCAACACATGAGCAGAGAAAATCCACAAAAACTCTCCTAAGGCTGGAGCTGGGGCTCGTGGTAGAGCGCTTGTCTAGCACGTGGGAGGCACTGGGTTCAATTCTCAGCACCGCATTGAATAAGTAAAATGAAGTCCATTGACCACTAAAAAAACAAACTATTCTAACCATGAAGATAATGATGAACTCGAGAGGAACATCTACAGGATACCAGGTACATACCAGACCTCTGCTCTATTATTCATATTCATTCGAGTTGAGTTATGCTATTTGTATTTACATGATCTATATCAATTAATAGACTAGTATGCAGTCTAAAGGTCACAGTAATTTAACTGACATGTTGCCCTACCATTTCAAAATTAACTTATGGGATACGTAAAATAATGCTGTGCTCGTGACTTCCCCATCAACATGGGGCACGGAGTTTCTGCCTCCATCGCTTTGTCGCTGGGCTGCCCACCCAGGACTTTCTTTTCTCACCTGTAAAATGGCCATATTGTTAGTACACTCCTGGTTTTTCCATAAATCCCTTCAGTCATGATTTACTGAGTATAGACAACATGTCTGTCACTCTTTGAAACACGAAGTCTTAGGCAATTTTTTAAGAATGTTGATTTCCTGATAGGTTAGAAATCCATACCCTATGCACACAGGAGCCACACGCAGAGCAGGTCCATCTTGATCCCTGCTGTGAGTAAATAAGGACTCTAAATGGTGATGAGAGACCTCACTTGGAAGGTTGCATTGGAGTCGAGGCTTGAATGGACAAGACGTGAGTCTCTGCTAGGAGAGCCCGGGGGAGGAGGGAGGAGACATGCGGCCGAGGAGAGGGGAAGCCTGTCACGTGTGAGGCTGAGCCAGAGAACCAGGTGACAGGTAATGGAGAGTCACAAGGGACAGCGAAGGGAACAACAAGGGACCCGTCACTTAGAGTCCCACCCAGGTTGGGGGAGACGGAGCAGGAAGGGGCTGGATCCCTGGGCCTGGGGAGAGATCCCAGGGGCTGCCGTGCTGGGGAGAACTTGTAAAGGCGAGCAGTCAGAGCCCAGGGACCTCTCACAATCTACTGCGGTCATCCAGGTCAGAAATGCCATTGGCTTGGCCACAGGTGGTGGAAATGGCAGTAGTGAGAAGCAGATAGGTTCCAGACGTATCAGAAGATGTGGCCGCCATCATTAAGGGTGCAGAGTGTATGGGCTGGGCCAGGAGAGACGAGAGGGCAGGCAGGAAATCATTTCCAGGTGGGTAAAGTGTGAAAGGGTGTGATGGGCAGGTGGCTGCCCGGTGAGCCCTGGACGTTCTGCTGTTAGCCCAGTGTCCTTCCCAGGTGATGGCAAGACACATCAGGGAGATGTGCTGGGGTCCGACCTGTGGGTAGCTCTCATCTGAGTCTCTGCTTCGTGTTTGCCAGGCTCCTGTGGGGATTGGGAGAATCACTTCACAGTGGCCCAAGCCGTAGCCTTTGGTAAGCTGCACCAGGAGAAGATGAAAGGTCTTCCTGGGGGGCTGTCCCCCTGGGAATAATGTCTGAAACTTCCGGATCTCACCTGGTTCCCTGCTTGATCTCCTGTCCCTGCACCTGTACCTCACGGGGATTCGTGCCATAAATCCTGTGGCTCGAGTTATCAGTTAAAGAGGTGGAAACTCACAGCTCCTCCAGGGAAAAAGGAAACTGGGGACTCTGAACCCTCACAAGGTCCCTGATCTATCATCCTTCCTCTGGTTGCTCAAGGACTCCCTCCTGCTGTGACTCAGCCCACATCCCCCTGCCCACCCAAAGCCCACCAAGTGTAGCTACCTCCCCCCAAAGACCTGACTCTGCTGAAACCCTATAGACCACACCCTCGCTGTGGCTGCCGTGCTTCCCCTTGACAATGGCCCTGGCCGCCAAGGTCACCTCCATTTCTTTTTCTTTGTGCATTCTCTTTCGTTTTGCTTTCACAGATCTTTGCTTCTTTAACCACCTGCTTGTTCAAAGGTCCCAGCTTCCCTATTCACCTCCTGGCACACTCGGGTTTTGAAAAACTCTTTGTGATATTACAAATGTCCCGAAGGCTACGGGGAAACCAGAAATCTTACGATGCTGTCAAATGTGTTTTCTGCTGTTAAATGGCGATGGCTTTTCCCTTACAAGGTCATTCTCGTGTCTTAGGTGTCCACACTGAAGGCTTGGGGTCTGAGGGGTCCTGCTTGTCTCGTAGGTGTGCTGTGAGGGTGTGAGCAAGTCGTCTCATCTAGGGGTCTGTCAGGAGTTAAGGCTGAACATTGACTACATCCAGGATCCCAATGTTGAGAAATGAGGGCTGGCACCCCGCAGAGTACCTGGTGCTAAGGAGATTCCTCAAAGCACTAGGAATGGAACCGACCAGGGAGCCCACTCCCTGGCATTTGTCCAACGCGCTACAGTGTTCCACGCCCAACAGCCGAGTTGGGAACAGCCCGGGAGTCTGTCAGCAGATGAGTGGGAAAGAAAACTCGATCCTGACAAAATTATGGGGGGGAGTGTATTTGAGGTTCGCAGTTTCAGAAGTCTCGGTCCATAGATGGCTGGTTCTGTTCCTCTGGGCCAGAGGGGAGGCAGACAKCATGGCAGAGGGCAAGAAGAGGAAAGAGGAAATCCCACCAGAGGATGGACGCCCGTCAGGCAAAGGCTGAACACTCTCACACTGCCCACACACCGGCCTCTGGGGGTCACCTCCTATCTACACCAGAACAGTGGAGTTTTACTCAGCCCTAAGAAGAGAGAAAGAATGGCATGTGCTGGTGAACAGAAGGAACAGAAGGACAGCACCCAGAGAAAGAGCCAGGCCAGGGGTCACGCGTGGGGATTGTCCTTCATATGCAAAAGCTAAAGAGAACCAACAGGAATTTTTAAAAAAGGAATATTGTGGGAATGGGAGGGAAAGAAGTAGAGCAAAGGAGAGGGATTGAGGAGGGATCCCGGGGGAAGGGAAGGGAAGGGAAGGGGGGTGCCGGATCCCATGTATACAGGTCCAAACATGTTAGGATGGACCCCCTGCTGTGTACAATTATAACACCCAACACAACATTTGGGGGTGAGGTACTGGGGACTGAACTCAGGGGCACTCGACCACTGAGCCACATCCCCAGCCCTATTTTGTATTTTCTTTGGAGACAGGGTCTCACTGAGTTGCTGAGRCTGGCTTTGAACTCGTGATCTTCCTGCCTTAGCCTCCTGAGCTGCTGGGAGTAGGTGTAGGCTATCATTTTTAAAAAGTAGGAATCATCCAGGGAGAAAATGAAAGGAAAGAACGTGGACGTAGTAGCACCCTCTAAAACAGTGGTTTCCAACTTAAGCCAACAGCAGACCCCTGGAGGGCTTGCTGAACCCAGGCTGCTCCACCCAGGTTTGGCAGGTGCCAGGAGGGGCTGAGGCTCTGCATTTTTAGCATCCCTCCCCACCCAGGGTGACAGTGCTGCTCCAGGGACCAGCCTTCAGGATGCAGCTCTAGAATAGCCTCACATGGGTGGTTCCTGATTTTTAAGCACCCTGAGATTCAGGACAAGGAAGAAAATGTGGCAGGGTAGGGGTGAGAGTGACCAGAGGAGGAGGAGCAGAAAGGCAGAGTATAAACTTGGAGGTGAGGCTCGCCCAGGTGCATGTCCCCTGCAGGCCACCGGAGGCCACGAGGCATGGGTTGGGCTGGGTGCTGCTGGCTGTCTGCATGTGTGGCCTGGACGCTGGTGAGGCCGAGAGGCTGGTGAGGCTGAGTCCAGAGGAAGAAGGGCTGAGGAAGGTGTGGACTCGGGTGTGCACCGCGTTTTCAATACTTCAGAGCGCATGTGTGGAATGGGGACCTGCAAGCCCTGGGATCTACCCCCGGCTCTCCCTGTCAGTCACCAGGTCATTCACGTGGGCCAGGAGAGTTGGGGAATTTGTGGGGGGACCTTGTTTTGGATGGATTTGCACAAAACACCGAGGGGTCGTTGTGGTGTGCCGTGAGCTCGGAGTAGCCTTCCCGAGGCTTTTGTCCTGTGGTGGGTCCACATCTGGGCATACTGGGCAGCTCTCTGGGCGGCTCTCCACATCTGCAGATGCCCCTTCTCTTCTCTTTCTTGGAACACACCATCCCATTGTGGCCGTGATAAAGAGGGTGGTGCTGTTCCGCCCTCACCCTCATTTGGTCAGTTGGAGGAGGAGGAGGTTCCCTCAGTGGTGAAAGGGTGACGTTTGACGGGAGAATCGGTGCCCTCAAGACATGTAAAGCATCGGCAGGGGATGAGGAAGGGTTTTGGTCGTGGGAAATATGAGCACCCTTGCCAGGTGCAGTGGCCCACGCCTATAATCTCAGCAGCTCAGGAGGCTGAGGCAGGAGGACCTCAAGTTCAAGGCCAGCCTCAGCAACTTAGTGAGACCTTGTCTCAAAATTTAAAAAAAAAAATAAAAAAATTAGTTGTAGATAAGGCTCTGGGATCACCTCTGGGTTCAATCCCAGCACCAAAAATAAAAGTAAAAAAAAAAAATTAAAAAAAAAAAGACCCTTTGACTTTAGCTTAAAATGACTGTCATGCACAGTGGCACCAGGAGCAGAAGGAGCCTAGTGGCCGCACATTATGGGTCCACCCTCTGCCCGGGAACGGTCCCTGGGGTCATGAGGACATCTGAACCCAGACACAMGATTTTGTTCCCTAAGTCTCCATTTCTGTATCTAGGAAATGAAGACCCAGCTATGGTGCCCATATGTGGTGCACCTCAGCAGGAGGCCTGGGACAGGGGAAAACGTTCCCTCGAGGCACAGGGAGCAGGTTGGGTCTGGACCCCGGCCCTAGTTGGCAGGAGCCTGGCTTGGATGACCCATCCTGACCTCGGGCAGATAACTAAAGGAGGTCAGCGATCAAAGGAAAAGCAAGGTCAGCGCACAGGGATGGCGGTTCTGCAGGTGGATGCCAAACCCTGCCACAGAGCGAGCACAGCAGTAAAGGGTGTCGGAGAACTTACTGGTTCCCAGTACATAAAAACGCTAAGTCGCCAGGCAAGGTGGCACACAGTGGCACACGCCTGTCATCCGCACAGCTCAGGAGGCTGAGGCAGGAGGATCACGAGCTCAAAGCCAGCCTCAGCAACAAGAGGCGCTAAGCAACTCAGTTGAGACCCTGTCTCTAAATAAAATACAAAATAGGGCTGGGGACGTGGCTCAGTGGTCCACTGCCCCTGAGTTCAGTCTCCAGTACCAAAAAAGAAAAAAAAAGAAAAGTTAAGTAGTCTACTATACTGTGATCTCTTAAGTGTGCAATAGAATTGTGTCTAAAATGTACAAACCTTAATTAYAATGTGTCTTATTGATGAAAAGAAATGTTAACATTCACCTGGGCTGTTGGGAATCCGGCACTCACAGACTTGCTCAACCCAAGGCCCCACAAACCCCCAATAAAGCAAAGTGCACTAAAAGAAGTGATATCTGTAAATACAGAGGGTTTCAGTGGGTGCTCAATTTGCACTAGACGCCATGCCATGTACTTCACACACAGCATCTGGCAATGACGGAGCAGAGAATTTTTACAGAACAACACCTGGCAGGGGGTGTCTATTCTCACCTGCCACCAGAGATGGGGTCCCCGTTGCCATCACAGTGCAATAGTGATCCAGCTCCCGGTACTGAGGATGGATTATCAGAAAACAGATGTTTATCTCTCCCTAATTATGCCTCCCCCTTTACTTCACCTCTCGGAGCCTACTGTCTCATCTACAAAATGGACATATTATAGGAAAGCATTCATGACCAATTCATTTCTGGTTATAGTGGTTATAAAGATTGTCACAAATATGTAGAAGAACAAAACCAGATCCCTACCTCTCGCCTGGCACAAAAGTTGAATCAAAGACTTAAGAATTAGACCAGAAACTCTGCAACTGCTAGAAGAAAACACATAGCTCAACACTCCATCATATTGGTGCAGACATTGAGTGTTTGAACAAGACCCCTAAAGCTCAAGAAATAAAACCAAGAATCAATAAGTGGGAAGGCATCAAATTAAAAACTCTGTGCACAGCAAAGGAAATGATTAAGAGTGTGAAGAGAGAATCTACGGAATGGGAGAAGATCTTTGTCAGATACTTCTCCAACAGGGGATTAATATCCATAACATGTAAAAAACTCAAAAACTTAACACATACACACACAAATAACCCAATCAATAAGAGAGCAAAAGAACAGATATTTCTCAAAATAAGAAATATGAAGGGCTGGGGCTGTAGCTCAGTGGCAGAGCACTTGCCTAGCATGGGTGAGGCACTGGGTTCGATTCTCAGCATCACATGTAGATAAAAAAAATAAAGGATCATTGACAGCAATATATATATATATATATATATATATATATATTTATTTATTTATGTAAAAGAAATACCAACAGCCGACAAACAGGAAAAAAAAAGGATTCCACCTCTCTGGCAATCAGGACAGGCACATCAAAACTACATCGAGAGGTGATTCTGTCAAAATGAACCCGTGTTATGTACAACTACACTGTACCAATAAAAAATTAAATAAAGATGGCCATGG